TAAAAATGTGAAATTTTTTAAATAAAGTTCAAGATGCAAAATACAAAATCAAAAATCATAAATAGGCTAGCAAATTGCAGAGCGTAAATAACAAAACAAAGTCTTGGTTTTCTATAATATATTTCAGATTATTAAATTTAATATTATTATATTACGTGTTTCATTCAAGATAAATCTCTAATTAACGTAAATCAGCTGCTTTTAAATTCCAAGCAAAACAGAATTATCGTATTATATCTTGGGCATTATAATTGACCTTATTTATGACTATGATAACGAGTGAAAGATGTTACAACAATAGGCAGAACAAGAAAATGCGCTATTAACAGTGACATAAGGGTAACATAAGGGTTAAAAGCACAAAAGATCAAAAACGGGCCGTCATTATGATGTGAATGAGTTTGACCATTGTTATGATGCAAAAACTTTTATACTTTCTAATGGTTGGCCTTTTATCCTTTCTTAGCCATTTCAACGGATTAACCTCCTAATACGCACAAATTCCAAATGGTTTAACTATACACCTTCGATATATATTTGATTTTTACAAAAAATAATAAATATAGCATAAATTTTGATTAAATTCATGTAAAATTTGATGTAAAATTTGTAAAATTATAAAAACTAAAAATTTGTCTACATAAATTTTTTACTTTACTAATGATATTTCAAATTTTGCTGAAATTGATGCATTGCATCAGCTGACAAATATATTTCATTAAAATTTATGTTTTAATTTTCCATTCAATAGAAAAAACGATTTATGTCTGTGTAGTTAAATAGCTATGGCAACAAATCAATCAGCACAAAAGCGACCTCAAATACAATAGTTGATTGTCTGTGCAGAATTTTCTTCAAAATGAAAAGATAGAAAGAGGAAGTTGTCACATGTAAATGCGTGCAAGGGCATGAACAATTTATTAGCACGTGCGAATATCGTTTCTCTTTTTAAGAATATTTACGTCTTTTTAAGAACATTTACGATGCTTTCTATCGTATTATTTGAGGTCGCAAAATGGTTGTCAAGGCTTTTCTCTTTGTAAGACCCCCTAACGGTATTACCAAAAAAAACGAACATACCTGATCTGCTAAAACCAGGTCATATATTATAATGAAAAAGCAAGCAGTATCTTAGAAAGCAGTATAACTATGAATAATAATTTAACATATAAACAATTCATTTAAGTTCAGAGAATATCATCTTGGCGAGAATAAAGATCTCTTTTTATACGCTATACTTCTGTTTTTTTCTTCTTTGTCGTCAGGGCACTAACTAATCGATTTCGCAAAATCACCGTAAAAGTCTACGGATAAAAATTATCTTAAAAATCTTTCGCGTATACTCGGTGTGCAGATTGAACTTTTGCAGACATTTACAAAAGCAATTAAATAAACACGCAGCTGTACAGATATGTATCTAAAGAGATCAATTAATAAACTATAAGAATATCTAAGCGAAATAATCATTTCTCATCGTGATTGAGAAAAACTTTATTATCCCGCAAACATAGTTTCTTTGCAAGAAACACTGCAGGTGACCTCGACTTTGGTTGCAACAATCATGCTGCATTATTGCGCTCTGCACGTCAATTATAATTATATCTGTTCTGTGTGAAGATAAAATATAATATCTTGTAAATAATACTGTAAAAACTGCTGAATTAATGCAGACAATTTCTATAACAATGAATGTCTATAATGTCTATAATAAGTTACTTATCATTCTGTCTGTGTTCGAATATTTAAACTAGTAACTTTAATTTGAATAACACATTTTTTAACCAATTGAATTTTCCTTTAAATTATCCAGAAGCGCTGATTCTTGAATTTAATTAAAGCCAATTAAAAACAAAAATTTATTTGCAAAATAAATAATTTTTGTAAAATACAATTATTTGACCACATTTAATTTACGTTTAATTTCACACAACTTTAAATAAATGTGATTTTTAGATTTTTAATTCTTTAGATTTTTAAATTTGTCTTACCTTTAAAATATCAAAAATTCTATTGTCGAAAGATTGCAACGAAAGGCGATGTGTTATTGACAGCTTGTGATTTCAATTTGAATCAACAAAGATTCTGTATGCAGTACTTTTTAAATAAACGCAAGATGCGACGGTGAACGAATACTTGAGCTTCTTTTGCAAATATCATAAATTTCATTCCGCGTCATTAAATCTCATATGAGTGTTATTAGATGCAAAAGCGAGCAAGCGGAAAAACAGTCGATCAAAGGTGTGACACGGATCGAAATTCTAGATCGATGGTACATATCGGCGTGATATGAAGGAAATTGCACATCGCATCTGGGGTATCATAAGTCGTCTACGTCTGCGGGAGAATCGAAGGGGGGAGAGAGAGAGAGAGAGAGAGAGAGCCGGCGATTGCAAGATGATGATGGTGGGGATACCAGCAGAAGGGGAAGAGCAGGCAACTCGAGAAGAGAATCCAGTAACCTAGTGCCGAGTTGCTTGGAGGTCTGCAAAAACAAAAGAGATGTGCGTGTTACGTGCCCTAGGCACCACCGATGTCCGATATCTCGCGATTAGCACCGGTACTCGAGGCTATAGCGCGAGTACCGAGTTTCTTGCGACTTTGAGATGAGGGTGAAATCACTTCTCGCGGGTGGATCGCTTCTCGCGGGGCTGTCAATAATCCCTTATCATGGAACGACGGAGAAATGACAAAGCGACGAAGCGAAAGATGCAAGAACGCCAGCGGTAGAGCTTCATCATCTTGAATCTTACTTTCTGCTAAAGGTTAAGGCTAACCTGATGGTTCAGCTCTAACTCGTAATTACGGGTAAAGCAAAGCCCATAAATATATTCCTGACCTATCTCAGTTTCTATAGATAGACGGTGTGTTTCTTCGATGCAGTAATACCGTGTTATATCATAATCGTGCTTTACTTATCACGTGTAGGAGATATGTCTCTGACGCAATTCTGCTTGTTCATATGTTTGTCGGCTTTATATGTATTATATAAGCTATACATAAAGATCGAAGAAACTATTTTTATCAAAAGTTTTTATAACATATTAGAATAAGTTTCTCATTCTCGAACGATCGAAAAAGAAAGAGGGCGGAAAAAGAATATCGCATTTAGAAATGACTCAATTGTAGAAAGTCGAGAAGTCGTTCACGGACGGCGAAATATTTCTATTGCATTATCCTTGAAGGCCGACACAAAGGAAGCGGTGAAGGAGGTGACAGAACAAAAAGGATTATCGCCAACGCTAGACAGCTCATTTCATATTCTTTATTTTTCTCGCACTTATCATTCTTGTTGTACAAAGAAAAAAGAAAAAAAAACAAACAGCTACGATCTACCTACGATTCGCACGGGAGCGGAAGGAAAAATTAATTTAAGAGACAGTTTTCGGAATTAGAAACTCGTTACCAACGCCGTAACGCCGTGGATCTTAGTCGGGGTAACGTTCAGACGTACAAGCGACAATTGCGACGATTTACGGTTAATAATAGAAACTATTGACGCACCCTTCCGAACGTAACCTCAAGTAACGAACTCTTATCGGCCTTATGGATCGTTGCGTTCCAATAGGAAAAGGTCACGGGGATCATGATGACGAGAAAAGAGAGAGAGAGAGAGAGAGAGATATGATATGATGAGCCCGCCGTTGGACGCGCGATGTCGATTGCAGTCGATCGCAAGCGTCTCGATTATCGAGGTGTCGATTTTTTACGAGATAAAAAGTACAAAAATATATATTTATTCTATTGTGTGTGTGTGTGTGTGTGTGTGTGTGTGTGTGTGTGTGTGTGTGTGTGTGTGTGTGTGTGTGTGTGTGTGTGTGTGTGTATATCTATATGTATATATATTATCTTATCTCTTTCTTCGCTTCTCCTTTAGTCCCGCTTGTCTCTCGCACACGCATTTGTACTAAAAAAAAGAAAAAAAAAAGAAAGAAAAAAAACCACTCACATCCTTCTCCGTGCACGCACGCGTTCGTCCCTTTAATCTCTGAAAAAAGATTCATCTTCGAATATCTCATCTCGTTCGTCGTTCTCACTTTCATACTCGCCATCCTCATAACGAAACTCGGCGTTTTTAACGAAAAAGAGCCGCGAGAGAAAGAGTCTCGAAACACTTAACGAGTAACAATAAAAAACAAAAATAATATTAATAATAATTGAATAAAGATGATAATAATAATAATAATAATAATAATAATAATAATAATATAAAGGAGTAATGATAAAAATAATAATGGTAAAAAAATGATAATAAAAATTAGATAATAATAATTAAAGAATAAGGAATAAAGACAGAACGCGAACGTTTTACCTATTCGTGCTATTCGAGCGTTATGGTAATTAAGAGAAATACGGTAACTCGTACACATATACGTAAGTGAAGAACGCGCGCTTCAACTCGAAGCTAAGAAGCGCGGCCAAACGTCCCGGTCCGTGTTTATGCGTGTCTGCGCGCTCGTACGTGCCCGTGTGCAAGAGCAAGTCGCAATGAGCCTCGCGCGCACCGAGCGAGTCGATGTATGCGAGGAATGCAAAGTACGTGGTCGTCGTGGTTCGAAACGGGCGAATCGCGCATTACGACACAGTCGGGCGGAAAGAAGTTTTGTGTAACAATGCGCGACCGACGTGTACGCATCGCGACCGCTTCCTGATAATCGAAGGTGCCCCCGATCGATTTTGCACACAGAGATGTCGGAATCCCGAGGGATTCCGCCATACGTCGCACGAGCGCGTGTCAGATTATTATTGAACATTGGTGTAATCCTTTATTTCTTTTTTTTTTTTTTTTTTTCGTTATAAACGTATAATTTTCACGAACGAAAGTTGATTTTGAAATTCTTATCTCGGAAAACAATCGCTGTTTTTAAATTTAGTTTTAAATTTAGTTTGAGTCACAAATTTTGACATTAGTTTATTCTTTTAAAATTTATTAAAAAATTATTTTATATCGTTAAAAACGACATTGAACGATTGAAACTCTGTATAAAGAATCAAGATTGATCTTATTTATAATAGCAGTGATTTAATGCCTCGTCTAAATTTATCTGCATTGACTGCATAATTCTTGATAGTTTATATAACATATGAATATTAAGAAGCTACATCAACAGAAGAAACAGGATTTTCCTAAATAATTAACTCTGTTTACTGTTTTTTCTAATCCATATGTAACACTCAAAATATCATCGACATTCGAAGCAAGAAAAAGATGTAATAACGATGATCATATTACTCATGATAGTGTTGATAATATAATGATAACGGTAACAGCGCAATATTATTGCGCACGCAATAATGTCTCAATCGGTGGCGGACAAGTAGCGACTAATAATAGCAATGATAATGAGAATAAAGTATCGGATAATAGCGAAAGGAATTCTTTTGGCGAAAATCGAGGCCGAAGCGTCGATATCCTCGTGACGGTCATATCTATCACGTTTCTTCGTGTCCACCGTGTCTTAAAAGGTGATATAAATAAAAAAAATAGCGTCTTGTCGTGGTTATTACATCGGCAGTATTCGTAATGTCGCAGGCGTCAAAAGAAACGCGTGCGATCTTTCCTGGGTGTCCATATTTTTGCTCTCGAGTCGCACGTGTCTCCGCGAGAGACCGAGATGAAGAAAGAAATGGAACGACTAGGCGGCGAATTTCCATGGCAGTGTAAAGTTCCTTCCATTCTCGAGCAGACTCCATCGTCTTTACGTTTGTCAGTTCCAAGAGGAGATGTAGCTACTCGACGGCAGTGATGTCGTTGCTGGTCGATTCCTGAAACAGAGCCAATAAAAAAATGGATGTATTAATTCAAGGTTCATTAATAATGCAGGATTAGACTGTACGTAATACGAGATACGCATATCATAAATAGAATGATATTAACATAATCGATATTAACGATATTAGCGTCTGTACGGGATTATGTCTGCTTATCATCTTTTATCTATTTAAATATATAAATAGGTCATAATAATAGTATATGCCGAAGCGATGAAGTTTAATTCTAATTTTTAACTTCCAATGTAAATGTAGGAAGGTAAATGTAATGCGGGACACCGGTTATTCATGCAATGAATTACGATATATTAATATCCTGTTTCATATATACGTCATGCGCGCAAAAAAAAGATTCGAAATGTAACTGGTGCGTTCATGAAGGGTGCAGCGTAATGCAGAAGGTGGAGTGGTGGGTGTACAACGGAATGGCAGGGGGAGAAACGAGCGGCGGGATATCCTGATCTCAGCGAAGGTCGCCTAGGTGCATTCTAGGCGGGCAAAAACTACGGCATAGGAAACCACGCCCTGGCAAACCGATCGCGTATCCTCAGGGACAATTTACCGGTAACGTGAGAGCGCGACACACACACACACCACACCACACACACACACACACACACACACACCACACACACACCACACACACACACATAC